TATTTAGCGGCAGTTTTGTCGGCAAATATGACGCGCACCCACTCCTTCACCAGATCCAGGTTGTGGTCCAATACCATGAGCTTGAGTTTGTCGGGTCCCCAACCACTGGCCTCTAACTCAGGTCCCAATGTTTTGGCGACAAAGTCTCGGGTGGTCTCAGCCGAGTACCTCATGGAGTTCCAGCTCTGGGAGGCCATGGGTTCATTTTGGACAGTTATGCCCCAATGGGTTATGTTGTGTGCTTTGTATGCTTCTAGGTAACTATTTGATAAAAATATGTGATTTAGGATTAATAGCTAGATCATTCTAGGAACAAATTGAATAAAAATCTTAAATAATTAAACGAGCTTTCTATAATAATAATTCATAAAAGCAAAATAATTACAATAATAATTTTAAACTAAATTGGGTCTTGTAACTTATTTAAAAATTAAAATTTGTGTCTCTCAGATACTAGAAATAGCTTCAATGATGTTTAATTTGCTAGTTATTATTGAAAATACAATGGCTTTAAATCACCTGGGTAAATGATACATTATATTCAAGAACACAGGCAAAATTAGGAGCCTTTCCCCACATACAATACAACACTTGACACTTACCGTACAAAATACTTGGCATAAATCTGCCAGTACTCGGAGCCTACCGGTCCTTTAATTGTGCCGCCATTTATTAAATCGTTGTTAGTTTTCATCCATTTTGGTGCAGACCAGGGACTCCCAAATACCCGGATATCATGAGTGGCCATGGATTTTGCTTTCAATATCAATGGTATCTATAAAATGTTTTTATTTATAAAATATAACAATACCTTATAAGTAGTATTAAAGTAAAATGTTGGATTACTTATAAGAACTCTCAAGGGGGATGTCTATTATCAGGGTACTTACAGCTATATTATAGTAAGTGATAGTTGTATAACTTAAATTACTTTGTGTTACTAACCCAATAATAAAAATATATTTTACTATTAAATATCAAGGTTAATTATACCTTAATTATGTCAAATCGAATTAGTTTAGAATACTATTTTTTGACTTTTACAATTACAGTATATAAATAATATTTTATAAAAAGATTTATTATTATAACATTTACAATTAACTAATATTATATAAACAGTATGAAGCTTATTTTTTAAAAATAAACATACATGCACAATATAATTAATTACAAACTTACTTTATCATCAAGATCTTCACTGGTGAGATTAAATTTAGCCAGTGTCTTGTCCTCGCCACCATCATCCAGCTCGTATGGCCGGGTAGAAAAGTCCGACCCGCCAATGGGTATCCTACCCACGCTATACTCAATACCGTCCTTGCTGAAATAATCCCTCAGTATCTGATCCCCCAATTTATCCCCGGCTTTGCGTATATTAATACCGGTCGAGTCGGTAAAGGCGCCGCCAAATCCAAACACCTCCTGGTGCTTGACATCCTGGTTCACCTTAACGTGCAACTGCTCGGCCCCGACCTTACCATCCCCTTCCGGTTGTTTACCGAAATGAAGGGTAGACTTGCGTAGTCGTGCCCCGTCTCGGCCAGACTGATATAGGGTGACCACACCGGTAGCTGTTTTGGCGGGTGTCTCAATGGCAGGACACGGGGCACCGGTAGTACAGACACACGCGAAACTGTCGTGGCCAGCCTGTTTGTGATTTTTACAGTCTGGCTCGTCAGCCTGGCATATGGCTAGTGCCCAGGTTAGTAATAACAGTGAAAGTAACTTCATTATTAGCTAGTTGCACGTTGTTTGTTCAAAATTATTTTAAGTTTATAAATGAGGTTACTACAATAATTTACTTTTATAGTGACTAGTTTATAAGTACTTAACAGGTATTCTGTATGGAGTTATGCGGTTAATTATCATTATAAATGTTTCATTATAATTAAGTTAATGTTTTAATTGTGTACATATGTACCAATACTATTGGTAATTATATCTCAAGATATAGTTTTGAAAATAACAATAATAATTTTATAATAATAACTTATAAATTCATTATCGATAATATAACTTAATAGCTATTTTGATAAGTTATATTATTGATAATTATTAATAAGTTACCTTGAGATATTGGTACAATAGTATTGGTACATATGTACACAATTAAAACATTAACTTAATTATAATGAAACATTTATAATGATAATGACCTATAACAAATTGTAAATGAATTTGAGTAATTGTATATTCAATATTTGATCTATTTATTATTTATTATAGTTGATACCTTTACATGTTTTAGATTAATATAACGTAAATTGTTTTAAAAATACTTATAACATCATTTGTATAAATTATTATTAATATTACTGAAAAATTTATAATTATATTATTTTTAGTTATATAATATTTTTATTTTAAAAATAATTTATTAAAAATATAATATGGGAGACTTATATAAAACTTTTAAGGGAATAAAATTACAAAACATATTAATTAATTATTTTGGTAATAGACATTTTGAAAATACAAAAACAACAATTTTATTTTATATGCTTATTCCATAGTAATTATTTAAATAATTTTATTTTTCATTACAATTCAACAAATATATTTAATTGAATTAATTTACCGTACCAAGATGTTGCTAATAATTTTCATCATTGCCATTGGTAATATTTAATTGTATTGCACTATTAATATTAAATTGCACTATTAATTGAAAACATTAATATTTTTTAAATATTTTAAATTAAGCTTGTAACACAATGTTTTCAAATAGCATTTCCCAAATAAATATGGTGAATATTAAAACTTTTTTTAAATTACAAACTAAACAAATAGATAATTATCTAGTGAATAATTTTATTTTAATACTTTATTTAGCTAGATAATAATCTCACAGATAGATTTAATAAATACAAAGAACTTTCAAATGCCGAAAAGTCCAATGCTAAATTTGTCGAAAAGGTATGTGGTGAATTTCTATGGTCTAATTGTACGACAAAAGTAGGCAAACCCACCGAAAACGAACTGTCCACTTGCGATCGATTTTGTTGCCACGAAGGCTACCTAACCGGTTACTGTACCAGTAAAATGATGGAGAATGAGCATGGGCATAAATCGTTGACATCATTGTGTAGCTGTACTAACGACTTGAGGGATGCCAAGTGTGGTCCAAAGCGACGATTTATGGGTATTCCCGGTATGACCTGTCCGTTGAAAAGCGCGTGCGTTACAAAGTGTTGCCGTAAGGGGCGCTCAGGTGGCCGGTGCGCAGGTTTCCTGAAGTTAAAGTGTAAATGCGATTAAAGTTTTAAAACTAATTTTTAAATAAAAATTAAGAGGAAATTAATTTTAGAAATTTCTTTGATTTTGAAAATGTCATTGGTAATTAATATTACTAATGTATATTATTTAAATTTATACTCTGCAATTTAAATCGTATTTATAATTTAATGAAATATTTTTATAAATTATTATAATTAACATTACAAGTGTATTACAAATTCAATGAACGGATTATTAATATAATGGTATTTAATTTCTATTTAAATAATAATTATTTAATCTTGGTCAGCTTAATTTCTTCTCAATTCAATAATTTTGGCAAATAGGATAATAGTCAGTGATATTATCTGTAAATAAATAATTCAAATTAATATGATATTTTATTATTATGTAAAATATATATCTATACTTCATATCCGCGAAAATTATTAATAATAAATAATTTCCAACAATAAAAGCCAACCTTTTGTACGGCAAGTCTT